AAAAAAAAAAAAAAAGAAAGAAAAATATTGAGCAGTCCCATTCCTGTCACCCAGCTTTTGAGAGAAAATGTGACAGGTGCATCTGCGTCGCCTGCTTGCTCCTCCCCCTCGTGCTCGCAGGCCACCAGCATCCTGCCGTGAGGGCATCCTGTTCATGCCCTTCTCCCGTGTCCTGGCCACGCCTGCGCCGCCCGGGACCCCCCGCAGTGCCAACCTGGCCACACGCACCCACGACGGCAATGCTGTGGCGGAGGGCTGTCGCAGAGAGCTATGGCAGCGCCCGTCACATCCCCAAAGGAATACAGCTGACACGACAGGGCCAGCCCTGTGGCAGCCCCTGCCATCGGGCCTCGATGGGTATGAACTCACTTGAGCCTCCCAACAACTCTAAGAGGCGGGGGCTGTTATAGCCCCACTTTACAGACGGGGCAACTGAGGCGAGAGTAGCCAGCTGGTCAGTGGCAGAACCGGAAGCCTGGCTTCACCACGACCCACAGCCCCTTCCGCTGCGCAGAACCATCCCCAGAGCAGCCGGGGAGGGGGGGTGTGGGGAGGGTGCAGCGGGGGAGGGACAGCGGCCGCCCCGGGCTGCCAGACCCTCACCTGAATGTTGAGCAGGAACGCAGTCTTGGCCTCCTCGAGGACTCGCTGCCTGACCTCAGGGGTCATCTCCAGAGAGTTCATGCGGGAGCGGTAGAGCTGCTTAAACTTCGTGGGGCTGGCGATGTTGGGGAAGGTGAAGAAGTCCACGCCCTCCCCGGAGCTGGGCAGGGCCAGGGCCTTCTGAGCGATCTTCTTGAGGACCTGGCCCCCCGACAGGTCGCCGAGGTAGCGGGTGTAGGCATGGGCCACCAGCAGCTCCGGCTGCCTGCGCCCCACGTCCTGGAGCCTCCGCACGTAGCGTCGCGTGGCCTGTGTGTAGGGGATGGCCTCCTGCCAGCGGGCTCCATACCAGAAGGCCATGTCCCGCTCCAGGGCGGCCTTGCGGTGCAGCTCTTCTGGGAAGTAAATTGGGGCGTAGACCGGGTTGTCCCGGTTGCGCTCGATCTCCTCCTCCAGGGCCACGTAGATGTGGTAAAGAGAGGCCATCACCAGCTGGAACGGTCAAACGAGCAGGTCAGGCTGCTGGCCTCGTGCAAGAACCCCACCCAGCCCCTTCGCGGCTGCCTTGGCGAGACCCTCGGGGACTCCCCAGGCTGGGCTCCCACCTGCTGCTGGCCACCTCCCCCCCTCCAGTGGAACCGAAAACACTTTCACTCCACTGGATGAACGCGCGGCCTAACTTATTCCTTATAAAACCCCAACGGAGGAGTTGCTATCCCCGCTTTACAGGAAAGGAAACTAGGCTTGGAGAGCGTAGGAGACGGTGAGACCTCACAGGAGCGAGAATGAAAACTCGAGTCAGGCCGAGGCGTTGCTAGGAGCCAGCACAGCTCTGTAGCGAGGGAGGACCTGAATGAAAGCCTTCCCGGGAGCCTCCCAGCGCCTCTGGACTTTGCCCTCCGATTCTCCTTCCCCGAGACGCACTCTGAACCCCAGCACCTCCAGAGGCTGGGCTGGGGGAACCGGCTCAGCACACCTTGGCTTGGGGATCTCCCATTACACATTAATGCTCTAGTCTGAGTTTGAAGGAGGACCAAGTTGAGATGTTCTGGTTGAGGTTTCCGACTTATTTCTGAGCCATGAACCTTCTCAGTGGGGCAGAAAGCCAGGCAGCCGGATACAAAACAGCCTGGGTTATCAAGCGTGCCGACCTGGTTCTAACCTCAGCTCCCTGGGCTGTGTGACCCTGGGTAAGCCACCTGCCCTCTCTGGGTCATGGAAGGTCCGAGCGACTGTCCCATCAAGCCCTGGTCCCCTCCCCTGCCAAAGGGGACAATGATGTCCTAAAGGGGGCTGATGTGAGAGTCAAGCAGGGTGACACAGCTCAAGTACTAGACAGAGGCTGGCACTTGGCCCTCAGTTCCGAGGCTGTGGTGATAAATGCCCCCTCCATCAGCATCCTCTATGTGAGCACTGGGTTCTCTCCCGGATCTTCGTGCCCACTTTGGACTCAGCGGCTTAGAGGCAAGATCCAAAGTCCCAGTGGCTGGGGATGGAATACTCCGGCAGTCACCTCCCCCGGATCCTGCTGCCCGCAGCCACAGTCCAACAACTGGGTATATGCCATCTTCTTGAGAGAGGGAGGAGGAGGACGGGGAGAGGGAGCCAAGACTGGATGTGGTAGCCAAGGGCCTGACCCCCTAGCACTGTATGACACATGTCACCGAAGCCTCTCTCCAGTTGGAAGGGGGAGGGTGCAGGCCGCAAAAGAGAGGGGTGTCAGGGGTCGGGGGATAGAGCTCCCTACCCCACACCCTCTGTTCAACCTGAACAAGCCTCTCCTCGCACTGATGTCTGAACACCCAACACCTGCCCCATTGGGTGTTCCCCTTCTATTTGCGTGAATTCCTCAGCCGTGCTGGGAAACAGCAAAATCCATGCCTAGCAGACAGCGGGTGCTTAAGAAGACCCTGCTGTGGAAATCCCACTTCACAGAGTAGATGCCCACAATCTTCCTGTGAGCAAGGGGTTGTGCTCGGCATCGAACCCATGCCACCCCTTACCCTCAGAGGCACATCAGAATTAGGTCAGGGGCACTAGCTTTGAAGGGAAAGCAGCCTCGGTGTGATTGCAGCCTTTCCCATTTACCTGCTGGCTGTGTGACCTCCCGCTAGCTACTTCACCTCTCTGAGCCTGCCCTTCCTCGTCTTCCTTACCCAGAGCTGAGGCACAGATTAGAAATGGAGTAAGTAAAATGCCCAGCACAGAACAAGGATTCAGGTGATGGCTCTGGTACCCTAGCCCCTCACGGCACTACACAGCACGCTGTCAATTTGCTACGTGACCTTGAGTAGGTCACCTGCCCTCTTTAAGCCTCAACGTCATCTGCAACATGATTCCCTTGGACATGCCCCTCTGGTCCCTCAGCATCCCTGGTCCCAACCCCCACTTAAACCACTGGCCTGAGCACCTCGGACACACACCCGTCACACCCTCCAGCAGGGCTGGTCCCACCAGGCCACATACCTTAAAGCCTTTTTGGGTCACCTGGCCCTTCTGGAAGTTCTTCATGAACTCGGCATTCTCCGCCTGGACGTGCACCTCCTTGGTGGCCTCCTTCAGGGCCTCTGACAAATCCTGGGGCATGCTGCAGAGGGGAGGGAGGGAGGGAAGGAGGGAGGGTGAACAAGGATGGCTCTGAGCAGGGTTCCTCCCAACGCTGAGTTTCTGAGGATGCCACCTGCCCATCAGCAGGCCTTTGAGCGGTATCAGGCTTCTCTACAGAAATAAGTCCAGCCTGCCATCTGATACACAGGCAAGGTTCCCAACTACCTTAGGATGCAGCCCCATCAACACGCTCCAAGTCATACGACCAATTGGGAAATCCTGGTACCAGTTATTGTTTCGGGGGCGGTTTGCAACACCCAGGGAGAAGTAGCCCCAGCAGTATGAACATTCATATTTTATATGAACATTCATATTTAATAAGAACCTTCATATTTTATATCATAATTGCTTTGATTGGCTTTAGACCCAAATTTAATTCATTTATTCTATTGACATTTCACACTCAAATCCCTTATGATGTTACGCTCATCATAAAAGCACTTGGGTTAAAAAATCTGCAAAACTCCGTTTTACTCAAAGAAAAAGTCCCTTTCTGGGAGTATTTCTGCCCCATGTCCGTCTCCACCTCCCACAGAATTGTCTTGTCTCCTTTCTCTCCCGTACTCCTTCCAGAAACATCACCCTGGTTCTATACATGCTCATCAAACTCTTGGGAGAAGGGAAGGGGCCAGACTTGGAGGTGGACAGACTGTGGTTCAAATCCCAGCTTGGACACCTGCTAGCCAGGGGGCCTTGGGCTTCTTGCCTCCCTGAACTGTGCAGTGCTCATCTGTTAAATGGGGACAGGACAGCCACGGTGGTGTCTGGTTCAGGTGCTGGACCGCTAGTGAGAGGAGGATGTGGCCACCAGGGGGCTCTGGCAAGAGAACCAGCCACTGTCACCCAGGCTCCTCGGCAGCCCCAGGGATTCTAGATTAAGCAGAGAGCACCTCCAAGGACAGTAAAAAGTCCAAAAAAAAAAAAAAAAAAAGATACCATGGGGACACTCCCATCTGGTTACCCACCCTGTGCCAGGGAGTCAGACGCGTAAATCACCTTTCATCCCTCTAATCACCCCACCCGACGAGACCGAAACCCGGCTCCTCCTTATTCAAAGCCCAAGGGACTCAGCGAAGAGGCTTCCCGGCTCTGTCTCGGAGAGGGACTGCAGACCACAGCTAGGCGGCACGACAGGGGCTGCCCTCCCGGGAGAGACCGATCCCCCGCGCCCCGCGCCCCGCGCCCGGCGCTTGCCTGTCGGGCTGCGGGCGCTCCATCTGGCCGGCGCTCGGTGCGGGCTCTGGTGCGGGCTCTGGTGCGGGCTCCGACGTCTCCGGACGCGCAGAAGGACGTGCGAGACTGGCTGTGCCGAGCGCGGCCGCGCCGTCCATTTATCCCAGCGGCGGGTCACGTGGTGGCGGTCAGCAGCTGATCCCCACATTCGGCCCCGACGTTGCAACACCCGCGCCGCGCCCGCCCCAGGCCAGCGGGGGCGGAGGGGGAGCGGTCATATGACCCAAGGAAAACAAAGCAATTTAAAACAGGACGCTTAAAAAAAAACAACAAAAAAACACCTCTTGTGGAAATCTGAGCGGCTGTGTGATTTCGTCCCTTCCAGAGGCCCCCATGGCAGGACGGGACTTGCGCACCCTGGGATTCTGAAAGGTCCAGAAAGCTGGGAGGCTAGTGGGCAACGGCCGGGACTTACCAGCCCCAGACCCTGCCTGCTGTCCCCTCCTCCCCGTGCTGGGAGCCTGCTCTCCCTAGACGTCACCTCTCCCCAGGGGACCCTGCGCTGACAGCCTGCATCCTCATTCTCACTTTATATGTACATTTAGGACCTTTTTTTTTTTTTTTTGAGCACCTACTAAGTGGTAGAGACTGTATTGTGTTTATGGTTCCTCCCTACAACTATTCTCTAGGGTAGATCACTACCATTTTACAGACGGGGAAACTGAGGCAGGGGGCGATGAAGTGGCGTTCCCGGGGTCACATATAAAGCAGGAAACTGGGACCCAAACCTGGGAGTGAGTCGAAGTCTGCCCTCCTCCTTCAAGCTGTCTTAGCACTTGGTGCACACACAACCTGAGAGCTGTGCCCAGCACACAAACTACTTCCCTGCCTGCATGCCTAGGGCGCTCTTCCAGAACTTGTCACAGCTGACTCCTCTCTTCACAGAGCTGGCCCTATCTGGGTCACTATTGAACTAGGTCTGCAGGAGATCGATCACTTAGGACTGGGGGAGAGCAGGTTACTGGGTGAGCCCAGGTGAGAAAACTGGATGATTCCTGAAGTCCTGTCCCAATGCCACCATTCTGGATTCTAAATTAAAATACAGAAACACAAACAAAAAACAAATTATAAAAAGGTGACTTTGGCTCAGGACAGGGATGCTGTTGGGAAATGGAGGTAGCAAGTGCCCCACATCTGAAAAAATGCAAGTACAGGCTTGAGCATGGTCTGTCAAGCATGGATTCCCCAACTGGGGGACTGTGGTGGCTGAGTCCTGCCGTTCCTTCCATCCTCGCGTGTCTAGGAGGCCCTGACACTTGGAGGGAGTCTTCAAGAAGTGGGCAGTGGGTGCATCTAATCCGAGGTCAGAGTTCTGGCCCGTGAGCCACCCTCTTGCAGGGTCACTTACCTGAGTGTCAGTCACCAAATCAATCCGGCTATTGGGAGGTTGCTGAGCCTTCCAGGTAGAGGGGCTGTGTCAAGGAGTTTAGTCTATAAACTATAGAACCACCTCTGTTTCTATGAACAATGGTTACCATGCTAATAGCTAATATCCACCGAGCCCTGACTGTGCACCAGCTACTATTTAAACACTCATGCATTAGCTCATTTAATCCGCACAATTACCCCATAAGGTTGGTATTATTATTCCCATTTTACAAACGAGAAAACTAAGGCAGAGGAAGTTAAGGTTTTGAACCCAGTCTGGGACAAAGATTTTAAAACTTCAAGGTGAGGTGTCCTCTCCCAGAGATGACAAGATTCACAGAGATCATAAGTGAAGCTGTAGCTACTAGAAGATTAAAAAAAAAAAAAAGAGTTGTCAACGGGCACCTGGGTGATTCAGTCGGTTAAGCGTCTGTCTTCGGCTCAGGTCATGATCCCAGGATCCTGGGATCCAGCCCTACGTCAGGTTCCCTGCTCAGCAGAGAGAGCTACGCCCTCCCCTCTACTTGTGCTCTCTTTCAAATAAATAAATAAAATCTTAAAAAAAAAAAGTGTTGCCAAGAATTTTCTAGAAATGAGGGCTATTAGAAACCAATGGCCTCATTAGAATGCAAGTTTCCTGGAGAGCAGGGACTTTGCTTTGTTCTGTAAATCCCCGAGCCTGGAACAATGCCTGGCAGGTAGCTGACTGGTCTGCACTGATTGATTGGAAAGAATGAATAGATAAACCACAAGATCTTTCTGGTAAACATGATAATATTGCTAGGCTGCCCCGAGAGGGCTGGAATCAAGTTACAAACTGCAATCTTAGCCCAATTTTATGGACCACTTTCCATGGGCAGAACCTTTAAGTGCAGGATTTCATTTAATCCTGACATTGGCCTTCCAGGTTATTGTAGTTTCATCTCCATTTTGTCCACGTAGACACTACGGTACAGAGAGGTTAATAGCTTTCCCAAGTCACACAGCTAGTAGCAGCAGAGCTGGGATTCCAACCACGGTGCTTTGCAGCCAGAGCGCATGCTCCTGAACCCCGCCTGGCCACATGCCCTGTCACAGAGGCGTCCATCTGTGCCCCAGGAATTTGGGGGGATAAGGGTGCCAAGGTCTGGAAACTTCCCTCAGCACATCCAGAACCTGTCAATTCAGGAACCCCAGAAAGCAATGCTTGTGTGATCTGATTCCTTCTTATCTAACATGGGGGAGCAGAGGCCCCAAGTGGGGACCGACTTGCCCTGTAGGACAACACAGAGCCTTCAGTGACCACGCGTTCCCGGCTCCCAGTCCAGGCTTGCTCCTCATTCTAACTGCTGCCCTAAGAGCCCCCGACTTGACCAGAACAGACGCCACACACCGACAACCCCGGGGCAGAGGAGGTTGGGTCAGAGCTGATCTGGCTCTTTCCTCTGTCCCAGTGTTGAGTTTGTGGTCCTTCCGCGTGCTGATTCAGCTTCCTGACTTCCCTTTCCCTGGCCTCAAGCAACTGGAATGATCCAAATGGTATTCTTTCTCCTCCTGTGGTAAGCTGAATAATGCACTGCCCCCTCCCCCCAAGGATGTCCGCAACCAAATCCCCAGAACCTTTGAATATGTTCCATTATGAGGTAACAAGGATTTGGCAGATGTGGTTAATTTAAGGATCTTGAGATGGGGAGATTATCCCGGATTATCCTCGTAGGCCTAATGTAATCACCGAAATCCTTCTAAGAGGGGGGCTGCAGGGTGACAGATACAGAACGGGACATGACAAGAGAAACAGGACTCCAAGACTGGAAGATGCTAGTGTTGAACAGTGGAGTCGGGGGCTATGAGCCAAGGAGAGCAGACAGCTTCTAGAAGCTGGAAAATGTGAGGAAGTGGATTCTCCCCTAAAACTCCAGAAGAAGCACCCCTGCTGACCTGTTTCAGGACTTCCGACCTCCGGATCTCCAGAGAATAAGCGTGTGTCATTTTAAGCCGCTGTGTTTGCGAGAATTTTTACAACAGCAACAGGAAAGGAGGATGGCCCCCCTCGAGGCCTGCCTTCCTCATATGGGGAACAGAGCCTCAGCTTTGGGAAGCAGGACACAGATGGATAGACCCTGGGGTTCCCCCTCAACTGCTCCCTTCTGTCACCTCCCAGCATGACATGGGGCATTCCACCACAAGAGTTTGATTCCCTCGGAGAACCCACCCCCTCTTCTCCATGCCTTCCTCCCGGGGGCCAAATGCTTGAGCGGCTAGAATGGGCCCGTTTCATTCGAGTGCTAGAGATACAAAGCTGAAGAGGTTGGAAGCCCACCTTGACAGAGCCTGTGTGCTCAGGATCCTAATGGAAGAAGTCTGGGACCAAGGGAAAATGATCTGGAATGGGGGCAGGGGGCACGGAAGACAAATGTGGGTAGAAACCGGGAAGGAATCCAGAGGTCTGCCGTCAGCCAGGCATTCTTCCCAGCATGGTCTCATTCCATCCTCACCAAACCCAGGAGGTGGGAGTTCCTCTGTGGTGGGCAGAATCACAGCCCCCCCAGAGATGCCCATGCCCTAATATCTGGAACCTGGGACTAGGTTATGTGACTGGTTGAATAGGCTCACTGCCCTCTGCCTCTGTCATGAAGACTGCAGACTTCAAAGTGGGGGAAATCCTGCTGGATTCTCTGGGTGGGCCCAGTCTATTCACGGGAGTCCTAAAGGTTGAGAGCTTTCCCTGCAGAGAGGCAGAGGGAACAGGGCAGGAGAAGTCTGATGTAGGGTCAGGAGGACTCAGGGATTGCACTGTTCAGTCAGGGTCAGGTCAGGGTGGACTCACAGGCTGGGAGGTGTGGGAAGAAAGTTGTTCCGGGCAGCCGGGGAGAGGCAGGACCGAGGCCTGCAGGTGGGACAAACCCGGCAGCAGAGAGAGGGAGGTCTCACTTGGGATGGATCGCTGTGGATGCTGAGGGGCAGAAGGCTGCCCATCACCGTAATCCAGGGCTCGGACAGGACAGGCTGAGAAGCAGCCTAGGACCTCCACATTCTAAAGCCAGAACCATCAAGAATGTCAGAAGAATAGGAAGTGGGATGTGAGGATGGAGAGGAGTCCCGGAGAACTTGGAATTGCCAGTTTACTACCACGGGGGATGCTCAGCGGCACAGTCTGGGACGAACCGCCTTTGAGATGCCTGGGACGGGGCTTTGCAAACAACGTGCAAAGACTAGAGATATACTGGAGTCTTCTGTTCTTTTCTGGAAGCTTCTCTTCTTCCAGACTGCTGTGAAAGCTGCCCTTTCACCGAGACCGCTCGGAGGGAGGCTGAGGAAGTCGCCGGTGACTCAGCAAAATCCGCCTTCCTTCCCTTTGTCTCCGCGAGCCCCCCTCCCAACTGTGACTCAGCAGAATCGCAGTTGCTCGAGGGGAATGTGGAAATCTGGACTTAGCACTTGGCTGGCACCGCCCATCGCTCGCCTGGAAAACAGAAGTGGTTTTGGACGGAGGGCGGGCGCGGCCGTCTCCCAAGGCTCTGATGGTGAAAAACAGAGGTGAGGCCCCAGCTGAGGCTGGGGGACACGGGGAGGCTGGCCTAGGCTGGATGGTGTTCGGGGAGAAGCAGGAGACCCGCCTGGATATCCTCAGGCAGGGAGCATCCCAAGTTAACAAGGTGACCCAGGGTGTCCTGACCACCCCTTACCCCACAAAGACCCAAGAGGCCATGCCCTTGACCCAGTGGAGGGATTGG